TGTGTCAATCTCTACAACCAATATAAAAAATCTGTGAATCATGAGGTTGGTGAGCACTTTGGAGTTGAGTGAGTGATGTAGAAAGCAAAAGTTGGCTGAAATCTGCATATACTTACTCCACACGTGTGACAAAAGCTGGCTCGATCTTTTAATAATATGTACTCCCTCTGTTCCTAAAACAATGATGTTTTAGTTTTACACACAAATTAAGAAAAAGTAACTTTTATATTTTTTAATTATTATTTTGTTAGTTTAATAATATTAGTTTTACTTTCCTCCTTCTACTATTGGTCACAAACAGAAATAATAATGATGTTTTTATAAAACATCAATCTTGGTGGAACAAGTAAAAAACCCAAAACATCAAATAACTAGGAACAGAGGGAGTAATTTGTAACTAGAATCAAATAAATGTCAATATAACTCAACTGGTAAAGATTTTTATGCAAAATTTAAAAGTTATCGATTTTAATGACATTTGAGAGAGGACCATATAAAATGTTCTGGTTGGTGGCCCAAGGAAAGATATGGGCCTAGGTCCAGAACCTTTAAGTAATTCAAAAAAATAAATTTGTACCGAAAATATTAAATAAAATATTTTCCAAATTTCCTTTTCAAATCTTCTTAATTATTTATGCAAAACAAACAGCTTCCCATCCTTGATGCTTCTTCTACGTTGATTCTATATAAAACTAGTATTTCTGGTTGTACTTCTTAATTGGCAAATTTGTTGCAAAAATAGGCTCATGTCTCAGTTTCAAGTTTATAGGTGCGGAATTTCCCCAAGTGCTAGATTTTTTGGGTCAAAATGATCCTAGACGGAAACCAAACTAATCTCCGAAACTTATATATTTTCTTGCCACTTAAACCGTTTAGGATAGCCAAGCACATATTTACATTGCTTTTTTTTTATCTTTTTTTTTTTTTTTATCACATATGCACTCACTCTCATTTAAACCTAGACATAGGCAATGGTGTTGGTAGGGTTAAGGGTGCGAGTGTTCCTCTTGGACTTCGTAAATTAGTTCAAACGATTTAATCTCTCGTTTTTGTTCCTGGAAAAAGCAAAACCTTTCTTGGTCAAGCTTAGTCCAATTTGAGATATTGTAACAGATTTTCTATATTGAAATCCAAAGAAAAAATATTAAACTTTTTAACTTAATTCTGATTTAAAAAAAAAAAAAAAAACGTGTAACTAGAGCCTAGAGGTGAAAGGCATGCTAACCATAACTCATAACCGATTCTTTGACACTCGACAACTGAAAGAACAAATACTTTTTTTTTGGGCGGTACTAAAAAGTGAAGGCCCGCTAACTTTCCATCATTATGAGCTTCTAGTTAAGCCCATTATTTGTGATTAAGAAAAAAGCTAAGCCCACTAAAGGTATAATCGAAACCCATTCATACATCCTTCACTTTTTTGGTTTTTTTTCTTACATACATCCTTCAAGACCTTCACTTATATATATCATAATAATAATAATACAACTCTGTAGTTTACTCTCTACTTTCATTTCATAAACTTCGTATTTGTTTAATTTATTTAATTAACTCGTATACAATAACCATTATCCATTCCTAATTTAAACAAATTTTAACATTGTTTGTATGATATCTAATATTAGACCAAATGAATACAGGAAAAACAAAACTTTAAACTGTAAATAGTGGCTTGATTCTGAATGACGAGACTTGTAAGATGGGGTCTAGAATATTAGTCGCTGTCTAATACATGGTTTAATGGTTCGGTTGGCGCATGTAATTAATTATGAGAATCTTTGCTTATATTGAAAAGAAAAAAAATGTGTCTTCATCTTATGAAATTTTTATAACTATATAATATGGTCCACTTAATTCGCAGCCGTCCGATCATCCAAGATGTGACATTTTCATGGGTCCTAGAACCGCGAATCGTAGCAATATGGGCAACACGTCGAGAGGAATCTCTTAGATGAAGTAAACGCCGTTAGACTTCGAGATTCCCCGTTATTAACTCCGTTAATGAGGTAACCGTTCGGAACTGTACCTGGCCGTACCGGGTTTTGTCGTATGCACACAAAAGTCCAACACACTCGTGACTCGTCTCGCAACCCAAACATGTGTAATTCCGATTTTGGAGTAAAATCTTGACAAGATACAATTTTAAACGTATCACTAAAATTATGGAAACCATATTGAACCGATAGCAAGAATCACACTTCAATAAATTACCAAATCAAAAAGTTCTTTCTCATTTAAAACAATTACAAACCTAATAGTCCAATCGGCCTATGTTGTTTATTAAATAACTCAGCGGATTCTCCAAAAAAATAAAATGACGATTCCAAGATGTAGAGGTAGAAAACGATTCAATGATCAAAATTAGAAATTGCTGTCCTAAAATTTTGAAGAAAATTTGATGCCTAAAATTTGATCTTTACCCACTTTAGGTCAGGGCGGCCAATTAGTTAATATCTTTTAAAAATTATAAGCTTTTATATATGTTAAATTATAGCTATAATCAATCAAGGTACAAATTTCACCACTTAGAAATATATTCAATGAAAAATATACGTAAAACAAAATAAAGTAGAAATTCAATTGCAAAGGCAAAAAAATTGTGTTAAAATATCAATATGTAAATGGCTAAATGCCATTTGAAAAAAGTGAAAAGAAAACGGCTCAATAATAATTACAAAAGGACTCAACCCAAAGAATTAACACTTAGCATATAAGAAAGGGGTAAATAAGTAATTTGAAAGGATGTCTATGTCATCTTATTCCTCTCCTTAAATTTTCCGTCTATTGGTGGTCCTCAGCCTCCCTTTCACTTCAGGTGGCGTTGCTCTCTCGTCCCCAAAAAAATCGCTTCCTTTTTCCTTTTGTTTACTAAATCTTACATAGTTAAAAAAAAAATCCTAAATTTCAGACGATAAGTTCTAGATGATTCGATGTTCTTTTCAGACATGGAGCGAAAAACTCTAGCGATTACGCCTCCTTCCTTTTTCTTCCATTTTGGGTAAATCCTTTTTCTTCTTTCATCCTCACTTTATTTTTGGATGATGGGTTCTTCGATTTTTCACGAAAGTTTTAATTTTTAACATCAAGTTTGAATCTTTTCTACTACTTTGCTTCTTCTATCACTTACTTGTTCTGGGTTTTAGTTCGATATTTTAATTCAAGTTTCGCCTTTCGTTATCAATAGGAATAGTTCCTTACTCTTTGTCTTTTTTTTCTGTTTATAGAACTATTTCTTACTTCTGATTTCTTCAAATGAGATTCTCTTTTTGGGTACTAGTCAAATTTTCATTTGGTTCATTTTTGGGTGATATTTTGTTTTCTAGAATGTTTATAGCTTTTTTAAGTAGTTTGTGAATCCCCAAATTACTTAAATATATATATATATATTTCATTGTTTGTTAAACCTCTCTTATGTGTTTTTGTTTATGTGTTAACAGAGGAGCATCATTTGGTTCATCAAAGGCTTTTCATTGTCTTCTCCTTCTCTCATGTCTATTACTTTCATCAGTTAATACATTGCATAACTTAGCTGAATATGGCTACAACAATGGTTCTGCTGCTAAGGAGTTTCAAGGCTTTATTAATGGTGAAGATTCTGAGAGTATAACAATCCAAAAGACATACCAGAATGTTTGTCCCAATTCAGAGTTGTTTTGTTTCCTTCCAGCTTTAGGATCAAAGAATCGGTATGATCCATTTGTACCCTTTTTTGGGTTGCCTTGTCCTAAAGAATCACGGAGTAGCTCTGTTCTGATCAGAAAAAATCTATTTGGTGTTATGTGGCTATCTCTTAAGCATGTCCACATCTTCGAGTTTCGGTCATTTACTGGATTCTTTCACAGAGGAGACACTTGTTACGAGCCTATGTCGAATGAACTCTATACTAAGAAGATCACAAGGGAGTTAAGTATTACTACAGTTTCGGGAAAACAGTGTGGAAGAAATTGTTTTGTGGTGAACCATCAGTGTGAAGGATTTTCATTAGAACCAAGGTATTCCATCAAGTTTCTCTATTTCTACCAAACTGAACTCTCTTGGGCATATGGAGTTGTTGTTTTTGCAGTACCTATGAAGGCGACCGCACCTGTTTTGATGCTTAATCTCTGCAAAAAACCGGTCTTTTGGGTGCGAACAAAGAAATTCTCAATTGCGGTTCTTATTGCTGCTGCTCTACTCATTTTGATATTTTGCTTCAATGATCACTTCATCGAGGAGAACAATAAGGGAAACCATCGCAACCACATGGAGTTGAGAGAAGTGGAGAAACCTTGTACGATCACAATCTCCCCTGCAATGAATTATGTGCTAAGATCCATAAGCAAAGAAAGCCTCCAAGTGTTCGATGAGGTTCCCAAGAGCATAAAGCCAGTTGCTTCTTCTGTTTCGTCTTCCCATGAAGAATCATCAGAAGATGTTAATCTCACTGTAAAGACTGCGATAGACAAGAAGAGACGCCGTAACAGGAAAAAAAAGAAAGGAGGAATCAACAGATTAACACCCGAGTACACAAATGTTTCAAGCAGTCACATCGGAAACTCAACTCCTAGGTCTCCAATATCACCAGAGCCACCTACTACTACTCAAGCCACAACGAAGCCCGTAAACCCTCCTAAACCGGTTCTATCGCACTCAACAACATTTCCGGTTTCAGGGGTTAAGTCAAAGATTATACAGCAAAGCTCACTGGCTCCAAATGTGAGAGCTCCTAGTGCGAAATCAAGAACCGGGGTGAAAGAAGATAAAGCGAAAGAGTATATGTACTTTGATATTTGGGGATATCACTTGACGGGGCTTCATTTGATGGATAAGTTCAAGGAAGTGAGAGAAGGTAAAAGCTCAAGCTTTGATGGAGAGGAGTGTGAGAGTTTCTTTGTTAATAAGGGTCCTCATAACTTGTTTGCAGACTCTCATACCAGATTTGTAAGTTTCTGCAACCAATGGGACTGATAAAGAAATAAAGAATAAAAACAAAAAAAAAACAAAAAATATTTTATATAATAATGCGAGGCCCATTAGGCTTTATGAGCAGGTTCATCAAGCCATTCCATTAGTTAGGATAAGATATAACACAAGCAACATTAAAATAAATAATGAAGCAAGCATAAAGAAGAAATACCGACCTACTATGATTATGAATTTGGTTGCGTCTACCGACCATTCATCGATCACTCTGATTAGAGGTTTTATGATTATCCGATTCTGAAGGTAAAACAACATACTTTTGCAAACTTGGTATGAGAGTTTGCTAACAAGTTCTGAGGACCCTCTCATACTCATCTCTATCAAATACATGTATTTTGTTTCTTTTATGATAAACGCTAATCCGAGAAACCTACATGCCAATCCAATTTAGACACTTATGGAAATATAAAAAAAAAATAACAAAAAAAAAATATACTCAGCACCCACCTGCATCCTCCAAAAATCGAGTATAACATACATTGTCTCTATTTTTTTCTTGTGAGATTGCAGTTTTTATGAGGAAAAAAAAAACCTTTGTTATTTTAAAGAGTAGAAATAGAAGACAACTAATGTAATGGAAAAGAAACAAAATCGTGATATTTAGAACATCTCCATTAATGGTTTCTCATTGAAAAACTTTCTATTATAAAAAAAAATGAAAAGGAAAAAAGAGAAAAGAGAAAAAAGAAAAACTCTGAGAAGCCATTAGACCACTTGTTTTTTGTTTATTAGTTTAGTTTTATATTTGTGATTAGAAAATAATTATATAATTAAAATATTAATATATTTTTTGTTTGAAAAATTCAAAAAGTATCTAATTGTTAGAGATGGTCTTATATTATATTATATATTAAACATGTAAACACAAGCAGAGAGCTTGCGATGACCTCAAAACGTGAGCAACTATCGCTACCTTACTATTTACAGCCTGAAAGCCTGGAAACAAATTCCAGGTATCGAAGAGTGTTTTAGCATGGTTTTTAAGGATCATAAACTTTACTGTCTCAACTATTATAAACTCAAGATCTTCGATTTCTCTGGAGATATTCCGGTCAAAGTTTTCACAACTTGCGTTAGTGAGTGCTTAAAACCACGAGGAGGAGGAGGTGGTTTTATGAGACTTCCTGGATTTCCAGTGAATGACCAGTTGAGTCACCGGAAGGATAATATGGTGGTCCGAGTTTTTCCAAGATCTGGAAATTTAAAATCGACAAGATGGTAGGGAACAACAAGTGGGAGAAACTTGTTTCTTTGCGAGACGAGGCCATTCTTTTGGATTTGGGTATCACAGTGCTCGCCAAGGACATGCAAGGGATCAAGGCCAATTCCATCTACTTCTCCAATCCTACTCCTTATTTTCAAGATCAATATGACAAAAACGAAATCTTCATATTCGACCTCGATTCCAACACGGTTGAACAACCGCACCGATGTGTTTCCTCTTCCTTTCCCCGCTCTAGATCCCGATGGTTCTTGCCATGTTTCAAACGAGAATGATTCTTCAGTAACTTGTTTTTTTTTTCATGTACGTATTCTTATTATTAATTATTGCAACATTTGGTAATATTCTTGTGAGGGTTGAGTAATAAAGAAATAAAGAATAAAGCCAACAAACATTCTTACCATATAGAGTAATAATTAAGCCAAGAACACCATCCCTGATTACAAGGTAAATAACCTTTGAGGACCCCCAAGATGAGTGAAGGCAAGAATCACACTCATGTACAAAATAGAATCGGATGATCAAGAGAATCATGAGCCTAGAAAGCTTTTTTACGAATCACAGACAAGGATTGAGAACCGATGATCAGGACGCTTTCCTATGGCCTGAGAACCTGAAAAATGTGTAAAAGTAAGTTTACTTGCAAAAGAGACCTGTACCAAGTTTGTATGATGATGAAAGATATTATTACTCACAAGGTACTTTGTGTTATCGATAATTTGGTCTGAGATTGTCTCCTTCTCTTCCGTGGTTTACCATGTACAAGTCCCTTGCCCCATGGTTGTAGCCACTACTGAAGTTGGAATGGTAGGTCTGATGGTTCATGTATGGTCCTTGAGAGACCTCACTCTGCCTGTATGTGTCTCCTTCTGCTCTGTGGCTTATCATCATATGCGAGAAGTGATCCAAGTCCCTCACTCCGAGGTTGTAGCCACTGTTCGATCCGACATGGTGGTTCTGGTATGGTCTCCTCTGATGAGTAATCGGCACAGCGTGTGTATTGGCATGTGGGTTGAATGATGCTTGTCCCTGCAGGGCATTAGAGGCAGGTCTTCTGTTGTAGAAAGCTGGTGGTGGTCTTTGGTTTGTTTGGTTTTGCTGTGTTGAATAAGTATAGGAGGCAGGTGGTGGTCTTTGGTTTGTTTGGTTTTGCTGTGTTGGATAAGTATAGGAGGCAGGTGGTGGCCTTTGGTTTTGCTGTGTTGGATAAGTATAGGAGGCAGGTGGTGGTCTTTGGTTTGTTTGGTTTTGTTGTGTTGGATAAGTATAGGGGTGGTAAGGAGGAATGTTTGGACGAGGAAGATGTGAATTGATAGGAGCGTATGTAAGAGGAGCATGTGGTCGAGGAGCATATGTAGGAGGTGCGTGTGAACGAGGAGCATATGAATGAGGGGGATTCATATTTCTCAACTGTGTTGGATTCTTATGGCCCTGTGAAGGATTTTGGTTTGGAAAAGCAACAAGTGAATGATTAGCTGGAGCGTTTTGTCTAAGCCTCTGGGTTAGATTCTCATCTTTCTCGTTTTTTCTTGTCTTTACTTGACAAGGCTTCTTCACATGACCAGGCTTTTGAAGTCTTCCATCTGGTTACAGACAGAGAAAGATCACTAAAAGAAATCTCTCATAGATAAATATAAACACAACTAGAAGGCTATAACAAAGAAGACTAAAGCATCTCTCACCTTTTAGTACATAGCCTGACTTAATTTTCCTTTCTCTCATAACCTTTCTTGCTGCGGCACCACGGTTATGCTTTTCGTTAAGAACTTTGACTCTGTCTTCTTCATTCGGCCATCGCTTGAATAAGAAATGGAGCAACCAAGTGATAAGCATATGCAAACCGGCAAGACTCATGACTGAATATGAAAAAATAGAAAAGAAAACTCACCTGCCTCAAGGTCATTAACCTATAAAGATTTCGTCCTTTGACTAGTAATGGATACAAAGGTGGCAATTTCTGTGTCCCCTCACACCAGAGCACTTCAATCTTTGGTAAAGAAACAAAACCAGATAGTTAGTTCATCACAGTGGAAGTTAGAAGAAAGCAGGCAACAAGATGAGACAATATAATGATGATCAACCAACATATGAGGTGAGACTTACAGTGAAAGTGTGTTGTTGTTTAGCAGTACCATAGCTTTCTTTAACAACCTGGCCAGCGACAGTTCTTCTCCCCATAATATTTCCACTCCTTTTCATCTTTTCATACCTATTCAACCCCAAGATCAACACGAATCAAAAAAGTGATAGAAGTAAAGCAGTAACAAGAAGCATGAGTTGATAAAGAAGATATTACTTGTGGTGAACCTTCTGTGTAAACAAAACAATATCTCCTTTGCAGACATCACCTGCACCAATTTCTGGGACGATCAAACTCTGCCAAACAAAATGTAGCATATCAAAAACAGTAATATTACCTTTACAATTGATAGCAAAGGATGCTCTTGGATACACTGCTTCTCCACTTCCATCTTTAATCCTGTGAAGAAGATAAAAAGTATACTTTAGAATTCCCATCATAAGAAGACAGAGATACTATTAGAGGCAAGCCAGAAGTCAAATATACCTCCAATGCTCAACAATTCTGTCAATACAAACTGGTTTGGTGCCAGATAATCTTAGACCATGCTTTCTCAGATATGCTTTGCACTCTTTCACATTCACAGATTTCAAATCGCTTCCGGCTACAAACAAGAAACCGAGTGTTCATGACTCAATCAAAGAATTTGAGAAAGAGGGGAAAAAAGAAACCCTAACCTGTGAGGAGGCGAGTGACTTTGTCGTCCTCATCATCATCGTCTTTCTCCCCGGTCTCGTCAGCTTCAACATCTGACTCCGTAGCATCATAATCATGATCGTGGCTCCAATCGCTATCATCCTCACTGATTCAAATAAAACTCAAAATCGATTAGATAGCCCCAAAAAATGATTTAAGATTATATTATAAGCAATGGAACCGACCTTGAATTCGTATCTTCTTCGGCTTCTTCTTCCGTTTCGTCATAGTTATTCTCATCACCGGAAACATCTTCTTCCGAGCTACAGAGATCAATGATTACCTTCTCCTCCGACATTAGGGATCTGTTCAGAGGAATGACGACGATTCAAAATAAATATCAAACGGCTCTCTGATTATTTTCGGAATTTCCTTTTATTTGATAGTGGGTGTGTTTTACACACTTTTAGACTTTCTAGTTTTAAGTACTAATTGCGTACCCGCGCGTTGCGCGGGATTTTACTTTAAAACGTTTATTAATGCGAATCTTTGAATATTGAATCATTTAAATTTTTAAAAATTTTACTTTATTCATGTGCATTATCTTTTCAAAGTAGTAAAAAATTTCTCACATTTCACTACAATTTCTCTCTTTATCGTTTGGTGCATGTAAAAGTGTTTTATAGATGACAAATCTGATATATGGACTCATGCCTATTCACAAACATCGGATTTCAGCCTCAACTTTTACAGTTTATCTTGACCGTTTGAAAAATACAAAATTTTCTTTTCACATATATAATTTGACGTATATTTTGATGCTGGATAATATTCTTAATGTTGATTTTCCTAAAAATGTAACATACGAACTCCTAATTCTAATTTTAAAATATGTTTATTTTTTTAAAACTAAAATCCTTCTTATTATTTCTGATTAAAAACTCTTCTATTTATCCTCAAATATTATTATTAGATATTTTTATTATTCGATTAGATTATTTTATTTTTATTTGTGATGTTTATGATAGTTTTTTTTTTTTTTTTTCAAATCACCTTCTTATTTTTTCAATCTATGTTAATTCCTAATCATTGAGTAATAATTATTTTTTATTTTTCAGATATTCATTTGTTTTTTTAAAAAAACTTAATTTAGAAAAAATTAGTAAATTATAATTATAAATAATAATATGTACTGATCAATCCTTCTCATTTTCTAATTGGTATCATGAATTGATATTTTAACATTAACACATATATTCTCAAAATTTAAATGTGTATTTTCAAAAATGAATTATTTTTTATTTTAAGTAAAAACCTATAATTTTTATATATTTTTTACTCTTATTTTCTTTAATCTACTTAATAATTGTAACTATTAAAAATGATTGTTGTACCATTAAAATATAAAATAAATTTTTTTATATCCCTAACTATTTAAATATATCTACTTATTTTTTTTTGGTAATGTAAATATATCTACTTATTATATGTTAAGATATAATTATCTAATTTTATATTTATTCAATCTCCATTCAGAATTTATATATTTTGTGTTCCATATTTAATTTTTTCGTTTTTGTTAATATTTTTTTTTTGTAAATTATTGTTTTTATTTAATGAAAAATAATAATATTGTGTGAATTGATTTTAGTTTTAAAATTTTGTTGTAGTAAATAAGATATGTGGAGCCCACAAAAAAAAAATATTATGACATGAATGGTGATGTGGACACCTTAAGAGGAGAGACAAATCTCCCCATTATATATATAGATTTCAAATCACCTTCTTATTTTTTCAATCTATGTTAATTTCCTAAACATTGAGTAATAATTATTTTTTATTTTTCAGATATTCATTTGTTTTTAAAAAAAAAAACTTAATTTAGAAAAAATTAGTAAATTATAATTATAAATAATAATATGTACTGATCAATCTTTCTCATTTTCTAATTGGTATCATGAATTGATATTTTAACATTAACACACATATTCTCAAAATTTAAATGTGTATTTTCAAAAATGAATTATTTTTTATTTTAAGTAAAAACCTATAATTTTTATATATTTTTTACTTTTATTTTCTTTAATCTACTTAATAATTGTAACTATTAAAAATGATTGTTGTACCATTAAAATATAAAATAAATTTTTTGATATCCCTAACTATTTAAATATATCTACTTATTATATGTTAAGATATAATTATCTAATTTTATATTTATTCAATCTCCATTCAGAATTTATATATTTTGTGTTCCATATTTAATTTTTTCGTTTTTGTTAATATTTAATTTTTTTTTGTAAATTATTGTTTTTATTTAATGAAAAATAGTGTGAATTGATTTTAGTTTTAATATTTTGTTGTAGTAAATAAGATATGTAGAGCCCACAAAAAAAAATTATCATGACATGGATGGTAATGTAGATACCTTAAAAGGAGAGACAAGTCTCCCAGTCTCCCATTGTATATATAGATTTACAAGATTTATCCAGTTTTTGAATCCAATTCCAATCAAGTTTTTTAATTATATTTAATCGTACTTTATACGTCAGTTTAAAATGTAAAGGAGTAATTTGTAGTAATTTTTATATGCAACCAACTAGTAAAATCCAGGAGGAGCTTCCATATTAACTACATCATAAATCAAGAGAAAATGAGTGCAGGGATTAATTTTTTAAAGATGGATCTAAATCTAAAAATGATACAGACCCGAAACCAAATGTACACAAGACGTCGTTAAAAATAATTTATACACAACTCTCTCAAGCAAAAAAAAGCTTCTTCTATCGATTCAACATTGGATTATAAATTTTACAGACACAATTCTTCTACCACCCACATAATTTTCATTCACCCCAATTGTATTCCCCTCACGACCCCAAACTCTAAATACGTACATTGACATACACTTA